ATTGGTACATTTCTAGCCAGTCAAAATATAGTCTTTTTTATATAAGTTGAACTCGTGTGTTTATTGGTCATGTGAACTGACAATATAATTATCTGTGATTTTCTAGCAATATTACCTTTGCTATGCAGCAGTAAACCTTTGCCTTACTAGTCAGTATGATGCAGTTCTTATAGTGTCAGAAATCTACTGGAAGTATCATGGTATATTATTCAACTGTTACATGTAAACGGTTTTACAAATTCTAGATATTGCTGCTGACGTGATTGGGGCTCTTCAGCAGTTCACACAGGCTGGGGTTCGAACCCAGGGCCTTCTGGTTACAAGGTGAGCCCGTAGACCATTTCAGCTACTGGGACCCGAGGCCAAGTTAAACTTTAAGCACCCCTGACTATCAGTGGAGTGCGAAAGCACCAATGACCTTGAAATGCTCACTAAGCAAGTTAGTGAAATCCGGCAAATAATGTTGTCATCATCAATAAAATGTGCTCATCGAAGTGTTATGCTACTAAATGGGATTTCTGGCAAGTTTCAGCTTAGGTTCGGGAAAGATTAAGTTACTGTTTAAGCCAAGGACAAGTTAGGGTTAGGTTAACCTAATAAAGGTGACATTAGGGTTGGTTCGAGTTAGATTACAGTTAGTTTAGGGATATTTCCATGTTAGGGTTAGGTTCAGGAAAAATTAGAGTTATTGTTAGGTTTAGAAGACCTAAATAATTACATGCATAGAATGTGGTTAAAATTACTCTTTTGATATAAGAATTGAACTTGTGCACTGTGGTAGAGTATAATTCCACTGTGGGTAGCATTCATTTTGATAAAGCCTCACAGTGTGCTATACATTAATATTTACTGATGACGTTTCGGGCACAGTTTATTGCTCACGAAATATTACTGTATTACACAATAAGACTTTATCAAAATAAATTTTACAATGGAATTATAATCTGTTGACACTCCAACCTAAAACAGAACTATTTTTATCACATGTGAGAAGAAGGTATCCTATGTAACACTTTTATACAGTTTTATAGATTATTTCATGAATATATGTGTTCTATACACAAAAGTGCCTCCTTCACGTAATTGGTGCGTTCGAGATCATTCGCTGATTGGTAGTTAGTAATGCTTAAAGTTTCACTTTGCCGGACCCGACCTTATTGCCTATGAATTCCAGCTGGTGACAATTCGTGATATATGTAGAGCGACCGCCAGCCGATGTCGTAGGTAGGTAACTGACCCCTTACCTGACTTAGGTTTGTCAGTTGCGCTGTATATATCGCGAATTAGAAGTTGGAATTCATAGGTAATTGGGTCGGGTTCCAGTGGCTGAATGGCCTACAAGCTCGCCTTGTAACCATGAGGTCCTGGGTTCAAACCCCGGGAGTGAGTATTGCTGAGAAGTCCCAAACTAAGACGAAACAGCTGTCCAGTAGTTCTCCAACTGATGTCAACTCGTGGTCAAACCTGTAACCAATCAAATCCCTACAAGGCAACACTTGATAACTGACACATCATACACTATATTAAGTGGGTCCGTGGCACATTTGTATAATGCTTGCCAGCCACGCGGAATGATTGGGTCTAATTCCTACCTGACACAGTCGTAAACCTCGCCTAGTCTACTTACCACTAGTAAGCTCGCAAAAGAGGAAAGGTTGGGCTTGTGACTAGTAACTTAACCTCATAGAAAAGAAAGACAACGCCGCTATTGATACCTCAAAGTGTGAATCAACCTATATTCCACTTGGAAGGCAAAGAAACGAAGCTAGAAAAAGGAATAAATTAAAATTGTTGTGCTATGTCACTTAGATTATTGACTACACTGTACGCTAAGTAGATTAAGATCTTTGACCAGTGCTTAATGTACATCATAAAAGTGTTAGGAGTAGCTGAATTACCTCAAAGGTAAAATATGACTAACGCTGGCAAATATCGTATCGTGTATCGTATATTACGCTATATTTCATGTGAAATTATACCATAATCAAAATAAAACTGATTTTTTATTCGCCCTTGGCTGTGTAAAACAACCTGTTAATCACTCATGAAGTGTGCTTCTACTTGGTATGGGTTGAATTATTTTTACCTATTGTCATTTAAGATCTACGTTGAATAGATGAATTGATCTAAGTTCCATCTTCCCACATCCAACTATAAATTTCTAGCCTCCAGGTTAACTAATGCTGTTTGCGTCAAAAATGCATTATAAATGACTCATTGATTCACGATTGAAGTAAAATAGTTCCCTACTGTATTTCCTACAGTCTTATTAGCACAAATAATATAGCGAAAGTGTCCGCATTTAAATATTTATAAGACAACAATTTGAGAGAAGTAATATATATGCTTTTTGTTTATCAATACATTGTAAATTATGGGAACAGCGGATTTTGTAAGTGACGAATTGATTAAACAGAATATCAGCCCGGAAATTACTGTATTTTCTCTAGTGGAAGTACTTTAAAGGCGTATCATGAATGTACATTTCATAATATAGCTATATGGTTGTCAGTCAGATCGATTCTGCCTGAATTTATTCATGGTGAAATTGAAGTATAGACTTTTAAAAGGTGTAATTAGCGAATTGAAGGATGACACAAGGTTGATTCTGAAAAATGAGAAACTCACCCGATTACAGATTAACTCTTCAAAATCAATTTGATGCTCGCGTGTGATTGGCAACAGGACGAAGTTTTCTGAAGTTTTAATGAGAACTCGTGACCAGTGAGGTACAGTAGGTTGGACGTGAGGAAAAATACTCAACAACGGTCTTGATCGGTGAAAGTTAGAATTAATGGGCCATAGAATCGGGTCCCAGTGACTGAATGGTATACGAACTCACCTTGTAACCGGTAGGTCGTGGGTTCGAAACCCAGTCGGAGCGTACTGTGATGAGTCCCAGGCTGGGACGAAACTGCTGTCAAATACTTCCTAGTCTTCAGTGGTACTCTAACAGATATCAATCCGTGATCCAACTTGAAATAATACGATAGGATTTCATTCCGTAATACATTTACGAACTTGACGCTGTACATGGCCGATATACATTGTTCCACAGGAAAACAAAAACTGACAAGCACACAGCGATTTGTTCAAAAGCGATATCATCTCCTTAACACATCAGTGGACTAACTGGTTGCTGGAGGAAGTGATTCGTAAGATGGCTGCTTGGAATGTTTTCTCCTGATATTTGGAAAGGCGGTTTTTAGGAATTTCTGCCTCGAAGAATACCAGTAGTTCTCTCCTCGGGCACTTTGTCAACTCTGGACATCCTTTGTACGATTGCTTCACAGTGACACATGGATCTCCTCAATATCGCAGCAGAAAACCTGGAATACTCTACTTATACATAGAGAAATTCCTCGCTATTCAGGACCTAAAACCACACGTCTGTGTTCAAAAGCTAGCACATGCACTCACTCGCCTTACCATGGCCAGAATAACATTCTTGCCACAAACATTTGATATTTTAGTTTCATATTATTTTTTTTTAATGCATACTAATGTTTATTGATAACACTGCATTCCTCATACAGGTTTCATATAAACACTTTACCATATTTCCTTAGCATTTACGTTCATTTACGTTTATTTGATAATTTTTTCACATATTACGTAATTCCAACTTCCGTTTTCTAATATCCACTTAGTTATCACCTTCCACATATATACCTCAAACTACGTGACAGATATCATAGAAACATAATAACCAGTATCTGACTGGTTTTATGAATTCCTTATTAAATACAAACACGATTGAATAAGTCTTGAAAATGATTCGTCAAAAAAACTGAGGATTATTCATAAATCACTCAGAGAAAACGGACATCCAGAAAGATCCCTTTTCGAAAATGTAAATTCATGCCGAAAAAAGCCAGTGTCGGCAGGTCAAAGAAAACCTCTGTTCTTAAGATTGCAGGTTCGTATGGATATAATTAGTGAATTCGTAACACAAAGTTTAAAGAATAGCTCAAAAAGAGCGTTCACCACACCAGAGCTATGCTATCTCTTCATAACTTAACCGATTTTGCCTAATTCCGCTTTCTACAGTCTGAACACTTCTGTGAAGGCAGTTACAAAGGCACACACAATTTGGCATGTTCATTTCAGCTTCTCTACTAATAATTATCTGGAGGCCGGCTTAAATCACTGGGCTACCTGAAATGCCATTCAGCACAGTGCATCATATTTTCTCTAATTAATACTGTTTTACGTAATAGTTATGTTTTTGAATGAAATAATGTACACACGCACATTTCTGATCGACTTTCAACCGACCGATGCACATTCCTCAAGGAGGAAGGAAAGACGTCATGAGGAGTTAGTCTATGCTTCAAATAGAACAGTTCTGTCACATGATATCCTATGGATTAGTATTTTACTTGAAGATCCTGGATAGAGACAAAATATTCTGCAAAAAATTACGATGAAAATTCTGTATATTATGTAGACATTTAGTTCAGAATAAAGCTGTTATTATTACTATTATGGTCGTTATTATTAGTATTATTATTAAAACCTCAGAATATCGACATCCAATAAAACCGAGTTATACGAAAAGTGTATAACCATGTGCCAATCCACGTAGAATTTGTGATTCACATACACCACGTGACGGCTCACAATACTACTGTCCAATCACTGCAACCACGCCAGTGGATATGAATTCGGTAATCTAACAACTGAACATGTAAACAATCGAAAAGCCCCAGTGTCATTATTCATAACATAGTAAGAAGACATCCACGATTCCTAATTTAATGGAGATGCAGCTGTTGATCTGCTCAAACAATCAGCTTTCAGTCAGTCGGTCCCAGGTGCGAATTCCGACTCATCTACTCTTCAGCCTATGGTAACCAACCGGGTAGTATTGTAAGTCTTCACAAATCAACTGTGGCTCATAGACTTGGTGGTGGTATACGTGAGAATACTGATCTACAGTTACACAACAAGTGAATGATTGTGATACGTTGATTGTAGAAAAAAAAACCCACAAATATTGCAGAGATATACTTTCACGACCAGAAAAAATTCATTATTTTTATTTCACAAAATAAAACTCACAAACAAATTCTTACAAAGAAGAAGGAAGTGACAGTAAAAAAAGAAAGAAAAAAAGCCGAGAAATGCATTGAGGTTTATTCACACATAGGTACAATTAAGAATGAGAGACAGCTTACACATCTCAACCTTCCTTTTTCTCCGTTTGTCTATTCCGTTTTTTTTTGCAATTTTGCCATATTCGATGTATTAATGCAGAAGAGAAAGGTTTACTTCTTTGAATAAAAGTATAGTTGTGAAGTAATAAAGACGGTAAGACATTTGAAATACAGTGTTTGTATATGAAAGACTTGGTTTTATTTAATTTTGCTATACACACTTATATTATAAAACCAAAAAGGAGAATAAAGTAAGTGATGAATATGCTTCTGTAGCATAAATCGATAGATGAACAAAAGTGAGATCATGCAGAATAGGAAAACAAAAAGAAACTTGTTCTATCTATATTCATCAAGGAGATATGATACAAGATTCACGTAAAGTTTTAGTAGAATGTATACCAAACTGTGAACTTGAAATCCAATCACGTTCCATATTGTTATTTTCATAAAATGACTTGGTAGTATGATTAAATATTGGAATAAGTTCATGTGCATCTTCAGGTTTTCGTTTCAGGTGGATCAACGCTGATGTGCCTACACCTTCAACAGAGAAAAGATTCAGATTACCGCCTAAATATTTAGCATATAGTCTACTCAATGGTAAACCATGTCCTCTACCAGCTATCGGTGTACAAGTACTACGCTCTGATTGTACTTCATACGTCATTCGATTATTTGGTGTGATTTGACTAACATTTGGAACTGACGAATAATTCTCTTCAAGATTTAAAACATTTGAATATAAATTTGTAGAATGAATAGCTGTTGTAAAATTATAACCGAAAGTTCTTTCAACCATATTCAGTGTCATTCCTCCACCGAAATCTGTAATCTTTAAAAAGAGAATCAAAAATAAAGATCATTAATTTTATTATTGAGTAAATAAAATTGAAAACTAAATGGCGATTGCAGCTACATGTAGTGTGAACCCTGTGGTATGTTTAACCATCGATGGAACTGTGGCTCATTGGTCTAGCTGCTCAACTTCCAACCAATGAGTCAAAGGTTCGGACCGTACACAGAGGAGGTTTGAACAGCCCTGGGTAGCATAACCAGTCGTCACACAATAGGTGTGACATTTTGCCAACTGCATGCAATCGCAAGTAAAGTTATTGAGTAGCAATGAGTTGAACCATCACCTGGACAGCTGTTTCGTCCTAGTTTGGGACTCTTCACAGTACGCACCCACCGGGATTCGAAACCTAATACAGTTGTTATAATGCTCATATATTTTGAATACATCTGACAAAAATTACTACACTAATTCACATCACCCACAAATAACTCGAAGGAGATTCCAGAAACTTCTACCATCAAGTAACAAAATCTGATTCCCATAGCTAATGAAACAGCTTTACAAAGCACCAATAACTAGTGCAGCTATTAAAACTAATGGATAAATCAGTATGATAAAATGAACTAATACCATAACAAATTTAAATTTAGAAAAACACGTGTCAGCGGACAGTATTGTTTTTAGTTGAATATAATAAAGCTTTACACTCATACACATAACTTTATAAATAGATATTAAATAGAAACCAATCACACTAATCTGTCAACAAGATGTTAAGGTTGTGCAATCACTCATAATAATAATGATCCTATCAATAAACAAATTGGAGCGATTTGTGAAAACAATGTTAATGAAAACGGCATGCTTAAAAAAAAGTGTTCCAACAGACGTAGTGGATAAAGGCTAAGAAAAAACATATAGTTCAATTGAGTGATGCCAGATTTATGAAGGTGCAACAACGCTAAGAGTTGATAAGAAAAGAATTTTATATATGTAGCGAAAGTGTATTTAGAAAACCTACATTAACGGGTCAGTATACTCATTTTTCCAGCTTTGTACCTTTGAAATACAAACGCAATCTAATAAAGTGCTAGACTCACAGGGAAAGAGCAATCTGCTCTGATGAATGTCTTAATGAAGAGCTAAATGCTATTAAACAGTTGCTGAGTGAGAAAGGTTACCCAAGAAAATGTATTGTTAAGAATATGAATCAAAAGTCGATACAGGTCAGAGCACTAAAGTTCCGAAAAAGGCCTTGTTCTTGACTACGTTTTACTTGGTCAAGAGAGGGATGATGGCTGTAGGAACTTTTTTTTTACTTCAGGCTTAATAATTGAAATAGTTAATCGCCTTACTTATATGCAGTAGACAAACACGAAGTCCATTAGGAACATTAAATGAATCACCCTGAATGTTTTCGTCTTTTCCATTACCGACTAAATGTGACAAAACAGAACTTCAGATTATTTTTGTCTGACATTTACCAAACCACGGTGGGAGATGATGTTCAGAAACACGTTAGCCCAACTGTCTAGTAATATGACCAACATAACTATCTCCGCAAGAGTGGTTGAATTGATAAATGCATGCAGATGTGACAAGACTATTTAGCTTTTCCTTAGTTAGAGTCCCAATCATTCACTGACAAGAAAATGACAAACACAGGTTTGCTGAGTAAAATGTTCTCCATAATCTTCTAATTAGTCTTTGGCACAAAATTCCGCTTGACAAGTTTCTTTTAAATTGCAAATTAATGAATAATGGTTTCTTCACAGTTATCAGTCTCCGATTTTCTATCCAAATTTTTCATGTTTCTTTATGAAACTGCTTGGATAACTCATCAAGGATTTGTGAATATGTTTGAATTCCCCTTGTAAGTGACTTTCCGAAAGTATATTTTTTGCTGTGCTTTTAGGATACTTCTATATTTAATTGACACACAGTTAAGGAAGTGTGTGTATTGCCCTGTAAATGAACTTTTCCTATACACACTTCTCCCAAGTGACCCATCTCACCTACTTAGCAAGTCATCCAGAAAATTTATCGTTTTATCCTACTCTTCTCCGTAAGTGAAATTAAACGAAGGGTGGATGTTATTAAATCTCATCAATAATTCATTTATACTTACATTCTCATTAATTCAGATACATGTATCATCGACATAACAGAAATTTATATCCATCTTGTTGATAACATCTCACGATCGTCCACTTCCAAGTTTAACAAAGAAAAATTTAGCTAAAATTGGGCCTAATAGTGAACATATAGCGACTCTGTCTATTTGTTGAAGACAAAGTGTACATTCATTGTTCATTTACCGAGTAGCTCTTTAAAGTTAGACAGGGGGAATTCAATTTTTGAATCCATTATAAAATTAATTAAAATAATCCTAGCAAATTTAGAAAATGAAAACAAGATTTTTCTGGAATTATTTTGAGCAAATTTATAATGATTCACTGTGTAATTTAGCGTTCAAATTATCCCAAGAAACTGGCAACATTTATTGGTCTGGATATTTATTATTTTAAACCCATTGTGTCTTACATTGATTAGTACAATATTATTTAGGTTGGTCGGTCGGTCCAGAAGAAGCGACAGTCTTCTACTGACCCTCGCCAACGATACCTTATGGCTATGTGGTCTATCTGAGTCCAGCGTTGGTTTGGTGATGGAGGTCGCCAGGTTACACATTGTCTTTATTTTTTTTTATTTTTATTTTGATTACAGCTTGATGCCACACCGTATTTTCAGTACAAGTATGGCATTTTCAGCATGGATATCGGTAGCCCAAATTTTGCAGGCCAACCATAGATATCGGGTGTGCGTCGGTAGAGGTTCGAACCCCGGACCATGTGCATGGTCGACGAGAGTCCTAACCACTGTGCCACCGACGCACAGTGCTGACTAGGAACAGATGATTGTCTGAGCAAAACTGGAGAAGACGATCACCGTTGTCGGATCGTCGGCGAGGAACTCCATACGTACCACCTACATACTTCTCAGTCTGGCACAACTTCCCTACTTGGGCATTGAAGTCGCCTGCTAAAACAACTATGTCTGAACGTTTTGCTTTTTGCAGCAAATTAGACAGTTTCCGGTAGAAGTCATCTTTTAAATCATCCGAACTGCAATCTCTTGGGGCGTAAGCGGAGACTACGAAAAGGCAACGACGGGTAGCGCCGTCTTTCCTTCTTTTAGACACTTAGTCAACAGGTAAAGTCTAAGAAACAGAAAAGAATACAGAACTAAAATTCAAAACGCAAATAATAATTAAGAGAATCAGTGAGACACCAGTTACAGAAAATGCAAAACCTTTGTGATGTCACTTTATATCAAGCTTTGGTTTTCAGGGATTTGATTGGTTACAGGTTTGATTACGAGTTGGCATCAGTTAGAGAACCATTGGCAAAAGTTGGAATTCATGAGCTGGCCGTTGGTTCGCGTCTCAGTGGCTCAATGGCCTACGACCTCGTACAGCGGGAAAGTCCCAGACTTGGGCAAAACGGCTGTTCAATAACCCCTGGTTCTCAGTGGTATTCTAATTGATTTCAACTCGTGATTAAACCTGTAATTTCACCTTATGTGTAATGACCGTTAGAAACTCTACCCAGAACTCTGGAAAATGTAACTCCATTAAATCGACAAACTAGCTTTATTAAATACAATATTCTGGTACAAATAAATTTGATGTCAAGACCTTACAGTCTGATTGATGGACCGTAATCATCAGTCAGTCATTTATTTCAACGTGAAATAATGGAAGTATATAAAATTCGAAAAATCTATAAAAACAATCATTCAGAAATGTAATGATATATAATGACACGCTAGACCAAGACAGTAGAGTAGTCATTCTAGGGCACTATGGAAGAAAAAAGCAATTACATTAACATTTTGCTGGTTAGTATTATGAATAAATGAAATCATTTAGATCTAATTTCTTGCATGAGTATTTAATCACTCATAATGTACGTCTTAGGTTCTTATTTACTGAACAAGACCTCAGCTGATAAGCTCTTACTACACTCGAACTTCTCTAATTCAACAGTATTAACTAACATGTCCTTCTCAACAATACCACCTTTCTTTTACAAAGGTGCTATTGGGCAATGATGAATAATCTGCAAAGAACTAGGCGATCATGCAACTCACGTAGTCGTACTTTTAACAGAAGAATTTTTCAACACTTGATGTTGTAAGGACACAGTTTTTGTTGGAAACCATTCAGTAAATGCAGAAAGTTGGTATGTTACTTAGTCTTTTGAACCGAAAACCACTAAACGTAAACCTATTAAGCGATTTTCAACAAGAACTATGATAAATAGCTAACTGTTGAGGTTTATTTTGTTTGTTTCCGTTGAAAGATTATGTTGGACCGAAATGTTTGGTCTCTGTTGACATATCGGCTCCCATTACGGACGCTTTGACGATGTTTGGGAACTAGCATAACGCTATTCGGAGGTTGGTGATTAGCAGAGGAATCAACTTAAACAAATAATCACTGACAGTTTTAAAAGAAGAGGTGGCCTAGTGGATAACGTTTTGGCATCTGACACCATGGGTGCTGGGTTCGAGTCTGCAAGGTGCTGGTTGTGTTGCACTCTACCAGCCTTACTAAACGTAACACGCTTAATTACCTAGTAATTCAGTGCACTGCCTACCTTACAAGTACTGATAACGTAACACAAATTAAAAAGAACTCACTTATGCAGGAATTAGCTCTGGTGAGCAATATATTTAAATAGAATAAAAGGTTAAGGTTATTTAGGGAAGAGATTTTAGAACTTATCCGGCTGATACGGCTAAATTACTCACTCTGAGTATGTGCGTGTTAACAGCACAAACAAGGAAGGCGAAAGTCGCAAACAAACCTGGTCGGATATGTACATGTCCAAAGTATATACAGGCAAGCTAGATGTTTATTTAGTTAACATTAAGCTGATTCAGTTCGATATACCAATTTTAACCCGGAGCTTATTTTAATGTCGTGTGGACAGTGCGCTACGAATCTTATTGGGAACATAGTTACTCACTGAGGATAGCAGGCACATCCCGACGAGTCCGAAGTAGGACGAAATAAGAATCCTGGATTCCATTGCTAGTCACCATTCACCTATTAATATTATGCTTCATAACATTTGTATTTTCGCAAACTAGTGAAAAAGATCAACACAAACTAAACGATCTACAAATTTTTCAAACTCTGTCCTAGTAGGCTACTTAAATACACTGAAATAACTGTCTCGATTCCCCCTCATTGTCTGAATAACTTGAAGAGATGCCTGATAACCATGCATGAGTTTTGACCTAGCGCTAATCAACCCCGAAAATAGGTATTTATATCACTAAGCAGGTCTCTTTTAAGTCATTTGAATTAAGGTGAAGGGGCGTGCTAACTTTACAAGTGAACCTTGACTACTAAAATTTCACTCGAAAGCGCATAGTCAGAATATTTATGGTATACACGGGACACTAGAAACTGAGATACACAACAAATAACGCTAGATGGAGGTGTTCATAATTTGAGAATTTCTATTTGATATTCAAAACAAGAACTTACAAAAAACTGTCTTTCTTCATGCCCTACACTACACCCCAAAAGGCGAAATTCTAGTCACATCAGAAACAATAGTATGGTGGACAGAATGGGATCCGACTGAATTAGAAGTTGGGATGGTAGGCAGTTAATTTTGATAGTGGTTGAAATGTACGTATCCTATTAATGTTTCTGCTACGACTAAAATATTACTGTTACTGGCTATTGTATGATATTTATGAATATATAAAAGTCAGTTATCTGCATTTGAAACAAACTTGGTACGTTTTCGGAATCAATAAAATTGATACAACGACATCATATATACAGAAAAATAATAGTTGAGGGACAGCATTGTGCGTCATTGGTTCGATGGTAGTATGCTTCCCAACCACACAAGTGGTCCGGGTTCAGCTCTCGGTCGACGACAGTAAACCTAGGAAACACGGAAATTTAGGCATGAGGCCAACAACCACACCCCGTAAAAACCCTTGACTTTATGCCATGATCCCACCGGGAATCAAACCAATTTGATTTTTGAAATTACTGATCACTTCACTTAATAAAGACAAGGAGAACCAATTTTTAGGATGACAATGAAAGTAATGGTAATTAAAAGGTGTTCACGTGTTCCGATTTACAAACACTAGATCGCTAAAATATAATCGAAAACAACGAAACTCAACAAAGCAAGACATATTTTTGTCCTCCATGGGGGTGAAATTATAAGGCTCTTATACTACTTTACATGGGCTATAATCACGAATTTACTGCAACTGTTCATTTATTCCAATGGTTTATAATTTATAATGAAGCGTTATATCTACTGGCAATGACTTCTACGAGATGCTGTTTTTACAGATAGGGACTGTCTGCACTAGAATGTTGTGTTAATCCATGAAATCATTGGATACCAGTGTATATCAATGTTTAGTATAAGTTACATTAAAGTGAGCACCGATAACTGCGATTAATAATGAAAATTACAATAGTAAAAACAATACTAATAATGATTAGAATAGAAACTATAATGAATTTTACTAATCATTTGCACCCTCATGTTTAGTGAATGAGAGAGCAAGTATACGTATCTGCTCAAATAAGAACAAACTACTAACCTCAAAACCATAACCTTGTGGTTGGTGTTTAAATGACTAATCCACTAAGTTGCAGCTACCTGATGAAACAATTTCTACGTTGCAATGTATCGAAGTGAATTTAAGCAATTTAAAAAGCGCATGACTAAATGCAACGGAAGACAAAGAAGCTAGAGGAAATGAAGAAATATTAGTCTGGCTTCTAATACAAATCACTCATAAGAATTGACAGAGACTTCTCTAAAATTAAGTTGTACTGCTCACCTTGATAATAATATCTTCAGGTGCATTGGATATAAGGATGTGTAATCTCGGTAAATTATCATCAAGAGTGTGATTCTCAACAACAGCTCTCATTGAATTTTTCAATAATTCATATAAAATATAAAATAAATGACCAGGTATATAACAAAATGTCACATCTTTGCCCTTGACAGATATATCTGTACAGTCCGGTTGATTCTCCAAAAGATATGACCTGGTGGATGGATGGCCAGTTGCATCGACACAAAAATCAATTTCGTTAAAACCACCACCCGTAGCACAGTCTTTATCTACACAATCATGAATTTCGATATCACAGCCAGGTGCACGACCATACACCTGCATACATAATAATCTCGAGTAACTATATGCATTAATTGCAATCTGAACTGGACTACAATCTGGATCGATGTTTCCAATATGAGATTGTATATTGCCAAATGAAGGTCCATAAAGTAGAACTACAATGGTTAAATTAGGCACATACAATGTCCGTTTACAAAACAGGACAAGAGACAAAACTAAAGTATTAACGTATATATATATATATATATATATATATATATATATATATGTATATATATATATGTATATATATATATGTATATATATATATATATATATCAACTTTATCAATTACATCACAATCTCCTTTATGTAAAAGGTAACTGAATAGACAATACATATCCATAGCCTCATTCTGTAATATCAACAATAATAACCAGTTAGTGGACTTACTGAGAATTTAAACACTATATCAATACAGAATCTCTAAAGACATTACACCTTGTAACTAGTGGTATGTACGTCGAAAGACAGCTATTTTGCAAGTTCACAGTCCCATGAAAATATAATGAAATTCAACTTTAAAAAGCCAAGTTTCAGAGCACTAGAATAGTCTTATAATATTCATTGACTATCCTATATCCAAAAGGTGACACAAGGTTTTCATTATCCACTATAAGAGAATTAACTGATTGCGTTATAGAACTGTTTGAAATATCAGATGTGAAAATGGAATCCGGCCGCAGAAACTGAGGTGTTTGAAGATGGTACAATGAATTACAGGCCATGTTTACAAAGGTACTGTGTAATGTACGGGGACCCAAGATAATTCCAATGAAGTAGAACCGATCACTAAAGGAAGACAAATTTTCTTGTAGTGATCGCAGGGGGTGTCAGCTTGACTAGCACAATATCTAAGATTCCAAGTTCTACAGTCCTGAGAAGACTAGGTTGGGTTTGAGAAACGCTGTCCATGGAAACTTGGTAGGCAGACGAAGACGATAGTGCATTCACTACACATCCACCCATCGACAGGTTCTGGGACATAAGCACGCCTACCAGTGTGCAACACATCGTATTTGTGAAGGCGATATTTGACTCCGTCACTGTGGTAATGTTACTTTGAAGGGAGTCCCGAGACAATATGTTGTAGTAGTCAAGGTTCTCTACAAAAACTGGTGAAGCCATTTAAGAGCTTGTGGAAAACTGCCACCTGAAGTGACGGTAACCAGTGGTGTCTTTTGGCGGTGCCCGATATCACCATTTTTACTTAATTTCATTATATAGACGACTGCAGTTGGCCTTGACAACTTATGGAAGTCTTCTTGATTTAGATTATGCAGTTGATACACTCTTTCTAGGTGAAAACACTGACAAAATACAGTCTTCTTAATAGCTACGGAAGATATCTTAGTAACTTTGGCATACGATCACCCCTGGCAAATATAAGATTGTGTTGCAGGATTGGTCTGTACCAACGCCTGGCTTAGGGATAGGGAGTAAAATGGTTAGCCATGTTGACAGCTTTACCTATCTGGTTAGTTGCATCGGTCTTAATGGACTGATTGTCAACGAGATCAGAGCACGAGAGCAAAAGATTCGTCTAGCATTTGTTAACTTGGGTTATCATTGGTGCTGGCATGATCTCCATCAAACTATCATTGGACGTGCTTAATAGGCACCAATCCGCGCCAATGTGAGGTACAATCATTGAATGTGGAAGGCATGAAGAATCTAGACTTTCCTGGTGAAAGTTATTTGCTTTCAACTTTTCGTGTTATGCGGTACAATATGGCAACTAATAATGAGTTCATGCGTAATGTTAGGTAACAGAGAGACAATCAAAGAGGTCGTGAAACCACATCACCTCTTTATATGAAAATTATTAGCTAAAGTGGGATTAGCTTGAAAAATGTTGTGGTCCGCCAGACGAATACACGGTTACAAACCATAAATTCACTAAATGTTGGTTTGAATCACGTCGAAAGGTGTAGTTTGTGTGGCTGAGGTCTTCAAAGATGTTACAAATCAATGATTGGAAGGTGTTAGTGACACTACTCAAAGTTGTTTTCAGTCGCACATGTGTATTTATTCTTTGTCACCTGGGCGGTGAAAGTTATCACTCCTTACAAGCTTCCACATTCATCACATCGTTATTCGTGTAACTATTTTCACTGACCTACATTTCTATCCACTATGGTTTTGCTAAATCTCTTTTCTCAACTTTTACTAGTGCTTTCCCAAAGTGTGACAACTTGAACTGTAGCGTTTTTGCGCAGAGTTCTACGTTAATTATTTGGTTTAGTTTACAGAATCAAGCAGAGAAGTACACTAGTACTGATTTATACGTACTAATCGTACTACCTATATGGTGCCAGAAAAGATTATAAAAAAATGACCTTTTAGTGTTACATATCAAATGACTTTATTAACTAAGCTAATAGGGCACAGCATTCTTAATGTACATTCCACCTATCTATAAGTAGAAATCGTCTTAAAATTGTATTTTGCGTCCTCCCTAACAATCAATATTAGAAAGTGAAATCCTGAGCACGGAACTCTTTGTTTTGTCTTCGAGAGCAGTCAGCGCTTAACAACACAACACTTTTCATAATATCCGACAATTCAAGATGTCACTCTTAAGAGCACATATATAAATGAAGAAAAGAAATGTAGTGGAACCAAACTGAATATGTTTAGAAGATGACAACGGATGAATACATCTGCCACTATGCACAACTTTGAGCCATATCACCGAGTCTGTAGTCACTAATTTTAAAGATACCCGGGGCTCCGGTAGTCTGCGTAGCTTAGACCAAAAGTCAATGGCTTTATAGATTGGTACCATGTTTTAGTATGGCCATTACTAACTTTTTCCCAAGCGACCTCACTTCAGCTAATATAGTAGCGGCTTATTTCACCACATTTAGTGAGGCCCAAAGAAACCACACAATGGTTTCCCCACTTTAACTAACATTCTTTGTTGAGTCTCATTTTTAATTATCATGTAACCCCACTTAGTGTAGGCGATTAAAAGATGACAACTATGGTCAAACATCTACATTCTCTACATGTCTACATTGAGCCATAATATTTTATGGTGGTAAGCATGACACACTACAATGTGTCAAAGAATGATCTTTTAAAATTACTTCTTTTAACAGATTAAGTGACCACTAGGGTTCAGTTAGTTACACTCTGTGTAAAATAACGAGATGAGCCACGAATATAGGTTTCACGTAACAGTACCAACTAGGCCCCACTGGCACTAATAGGACATTTTAGAAGCAGTGACTGAAATTTCAACACATTCTACTAATCTTCAGCTGTTTGTATGAAAACACCTAAAATGTCTGCTTAGATTTCATTTTAATATCAAATCACTTCAATTTTGGGAAGCGTTCGTTAGCTAGCTATATTTTTAATTTCAAGATGGTGTCTCCCAGAAGACCACCTATGGTTATTTTTCAGGTTATGACAGGAAGGTAGAAACAATAATCCAAGGAAAATAATCAATTATGACTAGCAGAAATCACGCAATCACGAAAGCATCAAGAAACTAGTTCAAAAGGAATAAGCTTTCAGTTTCCAAATATCACTGTAACTTACTTTTTCATTAATACGTACCAATTTACCTACATACATAAACTACTTTAAATTCACTGACGTTGTAACCCTCAGCAAATTTTCTTTTACAAAAAGCTAATTATATATACATATATATGCAACTATAGCCAATATATTTATCTCTATAACATAAATTACGTCAAGCATTTCATTATGACGTGTGATGGATATTAGAGATTGTAGGGAACTGGGGAGGACCAAAGAAATGGAACGGACCCATATTATTCTGCACCGTATATTATCTTTCCACGTCTATTAAAGCCGGATGTTTGCAGGCCTCTGTGATAACTGGTTTTGGTGCAGGGATTTCCGACAGGAATCGCAAAACACGACTAACCTTATTATTTTTGGTGACGAAAATCTTATCGTGACATTATGTAATAATAATAATCACTTTATTCCACGTAAATGTAGTTAAATGGTAATTACAGTAAACTTACCGTGCTGATTCAGTAGAGTACGTATTCCAATCCTATTCACGTAGAAGCGATCCAGAAAATATTGCAGTTGCAATTCCTGATCCACTGACCAGCAGCTACTATTCTGAATTTCTTTAATCCCCTAAACCACTATATGAAAATAAATTGTCTCACCAGTGCCAAAATTTCAACAACCCTCGAGTGTTTCCTCAGTATGCTGTCCATATCATCCGTAAATGCAGAAACAGCAGATGGAGACTTCGATGCACATTCTTCATATTTCATAAGGGTGTCAAATGTCTCTTCATATCTGATAAAATGTTGGAAGAAACTACACAACTTACAGCGAACATATCTGCTGAAATGATCTTGACTCCCTCAGTACGATAGGGAGAAGTCGGCATTCTTGCATGATATTAGCAAGACGCACTGGGAGCTCATATTTCAAAAATTCAAATGATTTTGAGGCTGGTGCACTTTCACCTGAAAAGAATATAAACAGTCTATTTGCCTAACCGAAATGTAGAAGATGCTTCAGACTAAGTGAAACAGGGATGAATTTACTATAATGCTCTATTTTCTTCCCAGACCTCCCAATAAACTCACAAAACCTCTCTAAACCCATCTTAACAGTAGTAACTGACTAATTCCCGATAACCTTGTAAATTTTTAAATATTTGGCTGCAACCATTTAAAAAGAATAACAGTGTACGTTCAATCTCCAATCTTTGTTGTCTGTGGTTGTGAGACGTACAGTGCAGCTTTCTGTGTTATACAGTGTGGAAAACTTCGTTTAAGTTTCAAAATTCAACTTAAAATCCCAGCTGAAGAGGAGTTCAGTAACAGTACTTCAGAAACTTCTGCCAGAATGAGCATCAAAAGACGTTGGTGACACATTTGGAGGCCGGACACATCCACCTTACATTTCACCACAGTTCACCATCTTCCTGGCACAAAGCAATTGCCCTTAGTTGTACAGCTCACGTCGCAAAACGTTTATCATCACATTCATATCATAACCAAACTAACTCATCACATCAGAAATAAATATTAAAAGAAATTTTTGAAAAGAATGAAACAAATAGCATGTACAGTGACTCTTCAGTGTCAACGGTTTACCGAGATTAGAATTAAGATATCTTTTACTCCTTAGAAGGATAAGACCACTGTGGGGAGGCTGAAGGTTAGTCTTAATATCAACTCATGTCTCTACTGATATACGTCTCAGCTCACATGATAATGGTAACAAATAAACTACGTACATAACTTTGGAAAGAATGGTAATGCCATATTGTCATTTTGACCGATTTCACCAAAGTCACACAGCATCCATAAGTGTACAGCTGGAGGTTTACAGACTAAGAGTGTTGACGTCCACGAATAGTACGAAGCATACAAATACAAAATCTAATACCCACAACTTCTATAGTACTTGTTCCGCATAGACCAGAGGCAAAGCAAAACACAGGAATTGATTGTCCAAATTACGGAATATATTTACGGGCGAAAATAAAGTAAGAGATTATTGCTTAACCAGCTAGAGATCGTGCACGAGCGGATGAACGACGGCGTGCCAAATGGCGTGGATACTTGACCGAAATCCTTCAGCTAGACAAGTTGACTTAAACAGTGAGGGGCAGCATCGAATGTTCAGTGATGAATGCTGTGGCCAATAATTCTGGGGAATCACCTACCGCTACAGTTTTCTCCCGCCCTAGTAGGGTGGTGATGACACTAAAATAAAACCTGCCAGCAGTAAAGAAACCAATGGCTTTCCCATCGGTAAAAACTCTTCTGATCGGCTTGATGTAGTGCCTACTGGTCGTCTACCTATGCTAATAAGGTGTCTGTATATCGCTTCGTTGATATTTGTTCGCTGGATCTCGTGTTTCGTTTGCTTATTGTCCAGTTCCCGTCGCACCTCGAAAAGAAGACAAGAATGCTAAGAACCTTTTGATGAAATTTACCGAAAATAACGTTTGAATAATGATATATATATACCGCACAGAAGAATAATGCGAGAAATAGAACATCGGAAAAAATAGATATATTATTTTTAGTGGATTTAGCATGTACGGTTCTAAGAAAGTTTTTTACTTGAGTTGTGGGATGCAATATAAAAATCGATATGTCTGAGATATATCTGTGCGTCGGTGGCACAGCGGTTAGGACTCCCGCCAACCATTCACATTGTCCGGGGTTCCATCCCCTCCCGACGCACAGCCGATATCAATGGTCGGCCTGCAAAATTGGGCTACCGATATCACATGCTGGAAATTCCATACTTGTACCAAAAATATGGTGTGGAATCAAGCTATAATCAAAATTAAAAAATACATCACAAGCGAATAAAAATTTGGAAATCACATCATTTAGTTTTGCCACATAAGTGTGAAGATTTTCCGGGAATCTTGCGTATCGTCCAGGACTCGTTTTCTTTGGGGGCTTGACAGAAGGTTCGGTGGCTTTTGCCTTGCTTGTGATTTCTTCGAGGACCAATGGATATTCAGTTACTTGTGTATTATTTAGAATGCTTGGTTCTAGGCTAATGGGACTGCCTTCTAATTAGGCCGGTTTCAGATAGCCAATGCTAACAGAGCCTTCACGGCCTTTTTCATATATTTGACAAAGAATTTCTCCATAAGTTTAGTGACTCTATATGGCCCGTCGTGTTGGGTTTCCAGAGGGCGACGCACAGAGTCACAACGAACAAATACATGCGAAGAAGTTTTCAAACACGGGTGAACAAAGACATCAATGGACTGTGGTCGAAGGGGAGCAGGTTTAACTGAACACATTGCGTTTGTAAGCCTGCTGGCGTATGAGGCTTGATCTACCGCTGGTGGGAAGCTAGAGGGAGAAACAAACTCACCTGGCAGTCGTGATGTTGTACCATATACTAGCTCGGCAGTAGTACAGCCAGCGTCAGCTTGCAGGGCATTTCGTATGCCTAGGAGATCTAGCCTGGTCTTCAGCTGTCGGTGTAAACGTTCTACCATGCCATGGAGGATGATAGGCTGCTGTTCTAAAACGCATACAACCTATGATTTTAGTCAAGGCGAAGGATAAGCCGCTTTCTAATTGCCGTCCACGATCGGTTGTTATGGAGGACAGGTATCCAAAATATGCGATCCGTCGTTCGACGAAGACGCGTGCGACTGTTTCAGGAGATACATCCCTGAGGGTTACTGCTTCAGGCCATAGTGTGAAGCGGATGATGCAAGTTAAAATGTGGTTATATCCATGAGATTCTGGGAGGGTTCCAACCAGATCTACATGAACGTGTCCGAAATAAGCATCAGGGATAAGAAAGTTGCCAAGAGGGCTTTTGGTGTGTCTCACTACCTTGCTCCTTTGACAAGCCAAGCACGTGTGTGCCCATTCCCTTCCTTCCTCATTAATACCAGGCCAACAAATCCGACTAGTTGCGAGCTTGATGGTGGTTCGGATACCTGGGTGGGACAAGCCATGCAACGTATTGAAGACGTTATGGAGATAACTTTTAGGTAAGATGGGGCGAGGAGTGCTCGTGGAAACGTCTCACAGAATAGAATATTTTCTCGACTTATTGCGGAGCTGTCTTCGACAACTCCTGTTGAAGCTCGGTGTCTTCATTTTGAAGACAAGCCTGTTTCACAAGGCCTATGCCATCTTTTAGGACGAGGGGAAAAATTAGCGGCAAAACATCTGCCAGTGTTGTTCACTCTGGACACATGATGAATATCTGATGTAAACTTTGAAACGTAGTCCAGTTGTCGTGTTTCTCTAGGTGAATAATTATCCGAAGTTGAGTTTAGAGAGTACGTCAGACGTTTGTGGTCAGCAAAAATTATAAATTCACGACCCTCCACTGAATGTCGAAAATGACATCAGTAATAACTTACCTAACTGTTAAAAGTGCGATGACTTTTCACTGTCTGCGTCTCCAAAAAGTTCAGTATCTCCCCAACTTTGCTAGCCAGTTGGCGAATACTCTTTTAGTCAGTGATGTGGCGAGAATATCGAGTGGGTCAACGCCTATCTGACACTTTTGAATATTAATAGTAACACCATGTAGGCATAACCTTTCGAATACGAAGTGCAAGTGCCTAACGTAAGTTTCCTTGTCTGGACTGGCAATGAGGCAGTCGTCTAAGTAAACGTATACATAGTCGAGACTGCGAAATAATCTGCCAATGAGGCGTTGGAATTCTTGTGCTGCATTCCGGAGACCGGATGGCATACGTAGAAATTCAAAAGTTCGAAAGGCGTAATGCTAACCGTTTTCGGAATATCTTCTGGTGCCATCGTGATTTGGTTGTATGTTTTAACCAAGTCTTTTCGAGGAGAAAGTTGTGCCAGTTACCGTCAAGTCGTGTATATGAGGCAATGAACAGCGATCAGGCGTTGTTTTGTTGTTTTTTATTTTTTTTTCGATTACAGCTTGATTCCACACAGTATGGAATTTTCAGCATGGATATCGGTAGCCCAAATTTACAGGCCGACCATAGATATCGGGTGTGCGCCGGCAGGGGATCGAACCTCGGACCATGTGCATGGTCGGCGAGAGTCCTAACCACTGTGCCACCGACGCATCGCTCGCCGGTAATCACCAGCTGGTCACCAATCACTGCTATCTTTTCTTGGTACTATAAGCAGTGGGGATACTCATGGGCTATTCGATGGCTGAATGACTCTAAGGGTGAGCACATGGTCGAACTCATTTCTAGCGAGTCTCAGTTTGTCAGAAGCAAGTCGTCGTGCTTCAGATATCATGGGTTGTCCTGAGATTACGATGTGGTGCATAAGATTGCCGGTTACGCCCGGTAGGTCGTTAGATGGGCAATTAAGTTTCGGATATTTATCAACGATCGGTAGAAAAGTTGTATCAAAGATCGCCTTCTTCTTAACGAGTGACAAGCTGGGACCTAAGCAGGTGATGCCTTGATATATACCCGTCGTAAAGGAATGGATTAGTTTTATTTAAATCACATAAATTTGATTTATCGTGAAATTACATTGTTGCTGTCCTTTTTGATATTAGCTTGTGGGTACAATCTGCTAACTAGTCATTCAATGGAGCACATTAAGAAATATAGAAGTAATGTCTGCGCATTTACGAGAACCCAAGTATGTTTTGGATGGATTACAAAAACTTGGAAAAAATAAAATACACCTCCGTATGACTTTGGTGTATGCGGCATCGTATCTTGTTCTTCATTTATATCCAGATTAGGTATTAATTTGAAATTAATTTATATAATTTTGTCAGCATTTTCATCGTAAATAACACCAGAAGTGAATTAAACTGAATGCAGACTAATACTGGTTATTGTCAGGCACACTTATTTTACTGCACAGAGGTCAGCTGCATGGTCGTTCCCTACAAGTTGACTAAAATGTGGAAATCTATTTGTAAGACATTTTAGATCATGGATAATGCTTGTATAGGATGCTGTACACAATCCTGTTATGGTGACAGTGGATATTTCAAGGATGCTAAGTTATTGCTAGACAAAACCATGAAAAATGATATACAAGTAAGTAGCCGCAATTCCTGTTCAACTCCATTCTTACTTTAGATCTGTGCAACTTCCGCTACAAGGCAGATAGAAGAGAAGTGGCGAGCAGCAAAGTGCCAGAAAG